CTTTGTCTGTATTGGTTTGACAACACTGTGCTACACAGCCGCAAATCAAGAGACCACACTCCGTACACTTCAGTCATTACAACAGATAATTATTGTTTTGTTGCAGTCTGAAATGCAGCCAGAACACAACTGTCTAAAAATGTGTTTTCCACCTTTCATAACAGCAACTATTTAATCCTACAGCATTCAATCCAAACCATACAAACAAGATAAACAAATGAATAAAACACCTCAGTCATGTTCACATAAAAAATGACTGGCCTAGTGTAGAGAAGCACACAGGGAAACTCCTCTGATCCACCCTTGCGCTGTTTATTTCTAGGTTGTCTTGTTGATAACAAGCTCATTTGCAATGATAACATGCCCAAGAGGCTAAAAGGAGGCTGTTCACTCGGCGGTACTGATAGAGGATGAGGAGCTGGGAGGCTGTGATTGGCTTGACTATGAGGTTCAATTAATAGTCGACTAAGCGAGTCCTAGCACACATCAAAGTGCACCATTGGGCCAAATCATTGATTGACAGCGGCAAATAATCCCAGGCACTGAAGGTCTGAGCAATATCATCTCTAACAGTTTACCACAGTGGACACACCAAGCAAGGCGTAAAAAAAAAAAAAGAAAGTGAAATGGAAGAAGTAAAAAGGTTGAAGGATAAAAGAGGAAGAGGGAGGGAAAGTCTTGTCTTCGGTCGGGATTCTTTTAAACATGATGCTGTCAATCCAGGCTCTAACCAGCAGTATAAACAGCATGTTAACACATATTCCTAAAAAGGTTCAACTTTTACCCACCTTACATTCTTACCGTCCTTTCCATCTCTTGTGCTCCAGAATGCAAAGCAGCTTAGAGGGAGGGACCCCGTGACAGTTTGGCTGCAACAAAGGAGTTGTGCAGAGAACCCTGCGGGCCTATGCTTTCTGGCTGGAAGCTTTACATATAAAACAGGCAGGCCTATCTGTCTCTGCACAGGCTGCGGCCACAAAGTCCGAATCCCCAGCTTGGAACACTCGGAGGATTCTCGCTCTGGAGTTCTGCACAGGGAGAGATTAACAACAAACACTAAACATGACTCTTCTGTCCATGTCTCAGAAGGAGGGGAAATTATGGACCACTGAGGGAAGTTTGGGCTAAGAAAAAGTCTCCATGCAGCTTCATCAATCAACACAAAGAATCTGTGCTCCCACCTTCCAAAGTTTTTTGTAAATCTGACTGATTCCTCCTTAAATGTTTTCTTCGATCAATTTAGTATCAAGCTCGAGTGCTGTCATGATTTAAGCAGAGGTTTGGTCACTAATTGTGACAATGGTGCAACAAACCAAAACCCTTTAAAACTCTGCCTCTGACTCATTTTTAAACATTTTAATAATTTATGAGGAGATACATCACACACACTGGAAGTAAAAAGAATCAGTGACCTTAGTAAACAACCACTGCCATCTAGAGCGTGTTTAATGCAGGTACAGTCTCCATCCAAATGTGTGAAGCAAAATTATTTGCGGCACATTCAGAACAGAAAGGGCCTCTTATCCAAAATGGAACTGATTAAGAAACAAATCAAATTCACATTTCTCAACATCATGTTAAATTTATTCCAAAATTGAGCCCCAAGTCTTTACTTTTAAGAAATAAAGGGCTGATCCTTTGAAGGGTAAACAAAGGAGAAATCTCCCACATGACATTTTGAAGAATTAAAAGCAGATTACTCCGTTGTTCCTGTTGTTGTTGATTGGCTTATGTGGAAAAATGAATTGAAATTATACTAAAATTATACTTAATGCATCTGTTAAAAACCTGTCTGAAAATCTTGAGCTACAGTTGCAAAATATAACAAATTACAACAAAACCACCTGGGCCACATGATGACCTCTTATAGATAAGGAGAACATTATCATATTTTAACCACCTTTAAAAGGACATCATCATCATCAACAACAACGACAACACTTCACAGTCTTAAAACACATGCAGCATACAGGTCTTCACTGCAGCACACATAACTGAATGCACAACTATTCTGACCTCTAGTGGGTGTTTGTTAAAATTACATCTTTAGTACATTGATAAGTTATCAATATGACATGTCTGTAACGGTGCACCTTCATAACCTTTATTAACAATCTAACATTTTTCCTGAATTTTGAAGTCAGATGAAGGCAGTTTAAGTAGGCTATTGTAGTTTTTACTTAAATCCATTGTCTCCTTGTTTGCCCCATTTGCAAAAATCCATATTTGGTTTTGGTATCTCATTAACTAAACTGACCAAACTGAGATCACAGATCAGAGCAAAGCCAGATAAATCTGGACACTTTTCATACTGAGGGTCAACCCTCCGTAGGCTAGTGTTATGAGGTAGTGGTAATGGACAATAATTCTGTGAAATGTACGTAAAATCACGTCTGGCTTTAAGAGATAGAACAACTTTGAAGCAAAGGGAAATTAGAAAAGTTTGCAAACATTAGCCAATAAAATTGTATATTTACATTGTTAATATAATCACTGAGGCAACAGTCTGAATGCCCAGTTAGATTCAAAGTGCTTACAAACAATATCAAAAAAACCTACCTTAAAATGTTCAATGAGATGAGTAGATATTTGAGTCCTGAAAGCTTTATGCGTGGTTTAACAACATGTGGTTTGTAGTCACACACACACAACCTTCGACTTGTTTTGCTTAGGGCCCAAACTGTTGTCTGTTTTGACCATATACTGTACAGTTTTGACAGATAATACACAGCTTAGGATATTTGTGAGATCACAGAAATAAAGATGCAGGTAAGGCGCAGTTCAATAACATTTCATATCTCAGATAAAGGTTGCGATTAATAGACTGCTACTGATGACAAAAAACTATACTAACCTGAGCAAGTAGCCTACACATTTCAGAGTCATAGGAAATCATAACTGTGAAGCTACAAAGTCATATGATTCATACCCGTGACAAAAAAAAGACAAGATAGGAAGCTAAACACCTGTAAGTGAGCCTACCTGTGTGTCCACACTTCCGGTGTGCGCCAACAGGACTCCAGAACTCTGGGAGAAGAAACCGGCCCCAACTATCACAATAACTTTTGATAAGCCAGCACCACATCAAAATTCAGAGAATACTTGAGTATGTTTTGCAGGATTTAATTTTTAATTTTTGTTCCGTACAAAAGTTAACTAGAGACGCCAGATGTTTGTACCTGCTATGACCACTTGTGGCCAGTAGATGTCAGGGTAGAACGCAAATATGACTTCCCACAGAAACTGTCAACTGAGTGAGAAAAACAAGGGCATTGAAAATGTAATTAATTTAAACTTCATCCAATAGTACCTCCAAATTCAAATGACACTGCCTTGTATTTAATTAAGATAATATTCAATCCAGTCCAACTGCCCATTGTGATGTTGTACAAAACAAATAGTATTCTAGGTTTAGTGGCTCTTTGTCCTTTAGCCTATGTGGTTTACACCTCTCATATTTTACCTGCTGAGTCAATAAGTCTTAGTAGACAATTGCCAGCCATTGAACTTAAGCCCTTGCTGTTGACATTAGTGATATTAGGCAAGATATTAGATGCAAATTCAATGTGCATCATGTGGCATATAGGCTACTTGAAACTATTCAGGGTCTTGGATTAAAGATTAAATGAGAGCATTTTAGGAGTAGAAAATATATAATATTGTGGCTCTGGCTTTAGAAAAGGCCAACAATTTTAGACATGAAATTGTCTGCCTGGATGGGTGCCGGCAGGTAAATTGTCCTAGCCAGGAGCCCTGACATTTTAGGTCAAAGCGAGGTGAGAGTAGGGAGCAGATGGTTCTCAGTAGGGGAGACAGAGTTGGCAGATGAGGTCTGGTTAGGCAGGTTTTATACAAGTTTAATTATAATTACTAAAATGAAACCCTTTGCAAATACAGTATATGACTAGTGTGCTCCTTTATGTTGTAGCTACAATACAACTTCTTAAAATATAAACACAGCACAGCTTTTCCTCTGAATATCATTTATTGTTCAATCTACATCAGTTGGTCCTTGGACAAACTGCCTCCACTCATTTCATAGTTTGTAGGATACATTTATGACCAAAGAACACATTTCACACTGCTACAGATTGACAGAACTGCCATATCGAATGTTAAGATATCTATTTACTGTCATGCTGAGTGTTTTAATCAGTAGTAATAACTTACTGATGCTGTTACTGCTGCTAGTGTGGCTTCTGGCATAATAATGGCATCTATCAGTCCCAATGGGTGGACGGCATTCCATAGTATTGTCCTTCTATGGTAGGAATTTTTACTGTAATTTACAGTTAGATGAGACTGGGCTGACATTGTCTGGCCCAGGTTAAAACAAATAGACAGACATTGTAATACGTTAATACATTGTAGAAAAAATCATATGCATTGATACTTTTACCAATCCTCATAGCACAATGTCTTACTTGTACCTATGTTTATTAGTTGTGCAATATTTGAAGATAGTAAACAGCTATGATCGTATAGAGATCTTAATGTTATCTACAGCTTTGAATATCCTTTTGGTTATGAGGATTAGCATAGTCATCCTGTACCTAATAGTATTTCATGATTACATCGTATGTAAAAAAGACCTCCGCAGAGTGACACTTCTGTACATGTATGTGTTTTTGTTTTGTACATAGCTGTAACGGTTAGCTCTCATTTTCACATTGTCTCACTCTGTCTCTCACCATATTTTATGGCAACTCCTTTGAAGCTTCACTTTGGCAGTCAAACCCAGTGGTGTGAATATAGAGGACCCACTGCCTCCCCTTGTCCCAACGCTTGACTCTCAGAGAGACAAGTCATCGCAAGACCCGCATTCCTGCCATGCCCTCAGTCGGGCAGTCAAGTGCAGCATAGTTCCTTGTATAAGTCTTTGAATAGTTAGTCAGTGCTTTCGCAACTAACCAGTGTTGTGCTAGTTTGTAGAACCCCATTTTCTGTCTGCTCCGTAAAAGGCCGTTTCACAGTTAAGTTCCAAGCAGCAGTCTTTTCAGGGTGGGGTGAGTGGCGCCAGAGGCTCTGAAGGGCCAGAAAATGCAAGTCAGTCCATTCACTCCAGCCAGATGCTAGCCCAGTGGTTCCCAATAATTGTTTTTGCTTACACTCCTTAGCTTTCCAAGCTCCTTCTACTCTGTGCCACTTTTTTCAGCTGCAACTCATGCAAGACTCTCTGTAATCCTTTTCATCAGGAAACACTGTGCTAGGGAGATAGACCAGCCTTTTATGGCATGCAGCTAATACGGCTATTTCAGCTAGAAAGTTGGCCGTTTGAAGCATATATTTCTTGCAGCGGTATTAGACAAAGTACACTGTAATGAAAGCTGGAAAGACAATGTGTGTGATGGAAGCTTGTAATTTGACACTTGAGAGCAGTGTAATACATACATATAATCAGGAGCATCTAATGTTAGCTGTATTAGCTACAAGTGCTAGTCTTTTGTGTTTTAATGGCTGACTGGGGTAAAGGCCTGTAAATACTGTTGCCCTTCAGGGCCCTGGGGCGGTCCTCCTTTGACAATTCACATTTCTCAGGGAGGAGCTTGAACATCCAAAGGCCTTATTAGAAATGTGGATCCCAAGATGCAGGTCAATTAGGAAAGAAGAAAAAGTATCCAACCAAGGTCTGCATTTACTTAAAGTAGTTAAGACTTATACGGTTTTTCAAAAGAACAGGCAAAGTTGTCTTTTTCTTGAACATATATTCTGTGGAGGATACTTTTTCCCTCTTTTCATTACTTGCACTCCCTTCAGCTTTGCTTCTGAGCTTCTTCTTTCTCTCTCTCTCCCCCTGTTGTCCTCCAGCTCTTATTTTTCCTTTCACAGGCTGTTTTTGTCGGGCAATTCGGCCTCCGGACTGCGGGGAAAGTAGACGGTGGCTTTGTGCTCCTCATAGCGGTCGATGTGCTTGAGGTGTACCACCATATGTAGGGCGTAGGCTAAGACAAGGAGCAGGATCAAAGATGTCACCAGGCCCATCAGGATGGCCGGCGTCAGGAAAGTGGCACAGTCACTGGCCGACGCAAACTTATCCGACTGAACATTGAAGGCCTGGATCTGGAGGAGCACAGAGAAAGCGGAAAGATGAGATTAGGCTGAAGTAAAGAGGACAACTGGCTCTTACTGGGCTTACCAAGCACAGAGACAGAGGGCAGGTTGAAAGATTGAGAAAGCCTAGCAGATGGCTAAACAAAGTGCACAGACAGACTGACAGACTGCCAAACAGACGGTAAACAGACAGACAGATAGCCAAAAAGAAGGAACACAAAATAAAATGGCTGGCAAACACACATAAACATGCACACATTTTTGGAAAAAAGTGGCCAAAACACTACGATACTACAGTGAATGTGCACAAGAAAGGCTGCGGCTCATTGTGCAATAATGTACCTGGAAATCAGTGAAAGTGATGTGCCAGTTAGCGGATGTGTCAGTGTGGGAGCTGGGCACGAGCAGGGTGTCATATTTGTGCAGGCTGCTGACGTGCTGGCAATGGTAGGATGAAGTGGCAGGAGCGTAGACCTCGCTGGCGTTGAACGTAGCCTCCTGGGTCCAGTTGTAGTGGATGTGAACGCTGTCTAGTGTGAACCAGTTTTGACCAGCTGCCTCGTAAAAGGTGTTTGACATTTGAAGCCTGGCAGAGGACACAAGGTGGGATATATACACAGTCCACACAAGAGTATACCCTTCTTTCTGATACAATAGTGAATTTCTCAATTGTTTGAATACAAAGGTAAATAATAAAGATAAACTTGAATTTTACCTGATTACTAGACCTCGTAAGTCCTCCACATCACCAAATCGTAATGAAAGCCTATTAAAAAACAAAACTACATGTATAAAACAACTCTTTCTACCAGTGCTGTCAATAGGTTAAAAATAATGGTGATTAATTACAGAAGAGGCCGTAGTAATCACCGTTAATAACAATTTAAAAAATACTCTTAATGTGTCACATTATTATCACAAAAGTACTAGCAGCCTGTTGAAACAGAGCCCAAATATATTTAAACTTTTGGGGTGGCAACTCAGATTTCAATCCACCCCTGTCACCCAGCCATAATTAACTGAGCCCATCCAGCTCATCGTGCTCATCACCACTCGTACAGAAGCGCCTCTTACATAATATTATGGATGCAAACGCAGGACCACTCAGCCAGCAACGTCTGCACTTCGTAGAATTTAAGCCAATTGTTTCCAAACACTCTCCAACTTAAGCACACGATTGTATATTTAGCCTACCAGGAATTAAAGACAGTTAATGGTTACATTATGGTGCAACATGATATTGACAGATGGCAGAGATGTTCAATATCTTTTCATGGGACAGTTTTTAAAGTCAGACTGCCCCATTGTAATTTGATTGGGAGATGTGACCTGCGAGTTTATGATAATGCAGCGCTGTGAGGAGACTTGTTTCTAACAGGGCTGCTTAATGGTAGAGACACTCGAGTCAGCAGTGCAGTTCATTGATAATCCACAGAACGATAGGGGAGCATCAGGCTTCATGATGAAGTATTTTACCAGTTAGATCGACTGTGCAGGTCTCCTTCTGTCTGCTATGTGTTTTTAAAGGGTAATTGAGGTTAATATGGCTTTGTTTTAATTTGCTTATGAACCAGGAAACATACATGATTCATTTGCATTAATAAAAATCACGAATTAAGCTCTCCTGCGTCAACACACGTCAATGTTGATAGTCCTATATTATACATAATAACCCATAGAAGTTCTCAACTGACTAGTGTAAACCAGTAATGATTTATTCTTTTCTTATCAAATCCTCTTTTTACAGCTTTTGTCTAGCACACTTCATGTGTCCTTCCTTTCGTGTAATATATAAATGTTTTACTCACGTAGCTTTCTCTTTGGTGCAGATGGAGCCTTTAGTGTCCACAGGTGAGTTGGGGTTGAAGACCCTCTCAGTCAGGTCGATGAAGGTATGGTTCCTGTACCGGATTGCCAAGCGCTTTGCCTTGAACAGAATGCAGGTTTTCCCATTGTAAGACACACTCAGCGGGCCATAAGGCCCCATAAGAGACTGCAGTAGCTTCCTCTTACTGTGAGACATCCCTGCCTGATGCCATTTAAAAGGCTGTGAACAGAAAAGAAAAACGATTTTAAGCAGAGGAGGAAGATAACTGGGGTTTGCTAACAAACAATCGGGTGAGCAGAAACAGTTTTGCATTCTTTTACTGTTCTCTTGAGTGCAATCAGAATATTATACAATGACATACTTGTAATCTGTGCCCCATTTAAGAGGCCTGATACTAACAAGGAATATGTGGCACACATAGATGCGTGCCTTAAATGTTTTGCAGATTGAGCTCCACAGCTAAAATGTATCATGGTGGGTGTTGTATTGTAGCTATATTACCTCATTTTGGCAACTTGGGACTTCTTGTAAACTTGTGTGAGTGCAGTCTAGACATTCAGAATTTAAAGGAAATAGCTACTGAGCAAGGACAAAGCAAACGTTTTCTTCTACAATATGAAAAAAGTGTGATATGTGAGTACTACATTGCAGCTCTTAATTTAAACCACATCGCTCCAAACCAAGCTTGTTTTGACTCAAAACCCAGGTCACCTCCCTCTTAACCATGCTATTTTAATTCATTTAAAAGGGTGACCCAAAAGACACTTTTCTTCTTGGCTTGTCTTTAACATCGCAATTTGTCAGCAGTGAGTAAATGTTCCAACCCCTATTGAATCTCAAACAAGGAGGGAACAGTGTTGTTTTCTTTGTTAAACACTGGAACTTCTTTAATTGAGCATATTTACCCTGGAGCTTTTGAAAACTGCATTTTCAACTGCATTAATAATGTGAACTTAAACAACAGCCCCTCTAGCTTTTAATCTCTGTGCTTAAAGGGCACATCTCATTGGAGGGCATCGTGCTCCTTGTTACTGTAGTTTAAAGGAGGTTGTTGCAAGGAATAAGTTAATCTCTATAAAACAGATGTAACTGTGCATAGATGCATCAGCTGATACAGCATAAAAGAGTGAATTCTGTATTAAGAGGGCTCCCATGTGTGTGTGTGTGTGTGTGTGTGTGTGTGTGTGTGTGTGTGTTTATAAAGATAGAGGGCTGCTGTTGGAGCTAGTGGGGGGGGGGGGGGGGGGTGTACCTGCAGTATTCTCCTGAGAGGGTTTTCATCTTCAGGCGTCAAAATAACCTCTTCACTCTGTAATCCGTACCCACCATCTTGACCTGGAAACACAAACATACATACATTACTGCTCCATGAAAGATTATATCAGTGTACATGATAAGCTGATTGCAGTGCTGCATTGCAGATTGCAACATAGTCATGAAGTTCAGCTGAATCTACACATGCACACACACACACACACACACACACACACACACACACACACACACACACACACACAAAAGCACAACCAGATTGTGCATACACCTCGCTACTCGGGCTCCTATCTATTTCCAGTTGTTTTGCGTCATCACAGTGACTCATCAGCAGTTTGGTTAAGGTACTATTGTTCAGTGTTTACAAATCCTCTTCATCTTGTTCCAACAACATGTAATTTTGCAATCATATATTTAAAGAAATGTCTCCATAATTTTTCCGCCTTTTTGTCAAAAGGCATAAATATAGCCATACACACACACACACACACACACACCACTTCAAAATCTGTTTGCATTGAAATATAGAAAAGCTGTCTCCAGAATTAAGAGTGAAAGGCAGTTGTCAGGCGCATCTATCCAGCACGTCACCATCAAAATGACGGTGGCAGGTTTGATTGAATCAGGTCTGGTGTCACACAACATTTGTTACTTACTTGATGTGACTCTTGTTGCTTGTTTGGGGTTCACTTTGCTGTGGAAAAAGAGAGAAGACACAATGAGGTCTTGTGATAGCAAGAGCGAGGGAAAGGATGAAGGTTCCTTCAAATATGTACAGGATGCTTATACAGCATTTCTCCCTTTAAGAGGAGAGTTTATTTAATAATAATGCAGCTGCTGCAAACGCAGGAACAAAAAACAGCTTGGCAGAGTATCTACATAAAAAAAAATAAAAAAAAAGCACAACCAAAGAACTTATATGTTGTAAAATGTTCATAAACTGGTAAAATAGGTCAAATGATTATGCTAACCTCCATACACATTTTACACAACACATCAGTTCACTTATGTGCAACTTACCAAGGTTTACCAAACATTGTTAACAGGTAAAGCTTTAAAGGCTTTAAGTTATTCAATTCCACGCACATAAATGACATGCCATTTAAAATATGTAGTCACTTAATAATTTAGTATACTATGATGTAACTAACTTTGTGTAATTTTGTGTGAAATATGTTTGAAAGTGATCATAAATTCTGAATATTTACAAAATTCTTGACCTATATATCAACCATAAAGATTTCTTATACATCAATTCGAGACAGGATTTCACATTGCACAGATGCAGAGTATACACTATAAACATGGTATTCTCTTCCCACAGAATTTTCCAGTAAACAGGTTTGTGTGTCTTGCCTACACTGCAGGAACACACTCTTTGTATCTTGTGTTGCTTTTTCCTAAGTAGCTGATCCTTAATGTAGGCCTGACCTACATAGTGCACAAGGGACAGATGACAGACCATTTTCTTTTCCTCCACGTGTGACCCTACAGTAGATGTCATCCTCTCAGTCTAACTAGCAACCTCTGCATAGACCTCTTTGAGCTAATCCTGATCCTTTTAACCGTCTAATCAGAGACATAATGCGCCAGCAATGGGCTTACTGAGCGACGCTGACATGGCCGGTTTTGCTTGTTGTGGTGGTCAGTCCAGAGTTCTGACTGTGCAGACTATCCTGCCTTATCTATGATCTTGGTGGTTGGCTCACTAATCTCCACACAATAGCCACTTATAACGGCCTGATGAGACATCACCATGTGTTACTCTTCAGTGTGTTTGTTTGATTCATTTTAAGAATTGCAGCACAACAAAAGCCTGTGTCTGTGCAGTCCTTCATCTGTGATTGATTTTGTGTTTGTGATATTTACTTGAATAGAAATGCGGTGGTATTGTAGGAAAGCCTTTTTGGGAAGGATACACAAGATGGACTGAGGATGACCTTAACATTCACACTCAATTTAAGCGCACGGAAAAGGAATTCAGTAGCTGTGTTCACACGTTGCTTCCCACAAACACAAGTGGAAACCTCCTACGAACTATATTTTGGAGATATTTCATATTCCACATACATACCAGCCTACATTTTGGAATAAACGTCTGAAAATGGAAACTCAGTTGCTTTTAAACTACCAATAACTACTTTACCAGAAGTGTACAGTCTGTTGTCATGCCAGGTTGCGCTCTTGTTTCGTTGATGGTTGAGCTGCAGTTTTTGAAGGGATGTGGGGGCTTTTGTTTGTCTTTCATGCTCCAAATCTCAAACTGTTGGATTGGATTTTTTCCAGATTTAAATTAAACTACGAATCATGTCACTCTGACATTTTCACTGATTGGCTCAAGGGCTCTATTGTTGGCTTGGTCATTCGTGCCATTTATGGATGCCATGCACAATATCTGTGACACAGCTGTCTACGTTTGAGTTTAAATTGATGGAAATTAATAATCCATGCAGTCTTTTCTGACTATCTAAAAGTGTGTGTGTGTGTGTGTGGGGGGGGGGGTCCAAATAAACACAAAAATAGGGTGAGCAGACTTTGGCAGCGTTGAACAAATGCTAAGGTATCAGGAGGTCTCTTGGGTTGATAGGTTTAGAGTAGGTTGCCAGACATATCAGTCCCAGCAGCCTGCAGCAGTTATCTACCCATCTGGTGCAGTTTCCACCAAGGTAATATTATTTAGTTTAGTGCCAAATGGATTAGGATTAAGCACAGGCCAGGTCCATTTGGAGCCCAAATATGGAGAGGCGTAGTCCCTGAACAAGATGAAGGGATTAAGGCATGATGTCAAAGCTGACGGTGTGTTCTGGACAGTTCAAGTGCTAATTAATTTGAACCGACCTTCCAGATAGGGTAAACTCCTGAACACCCATACAGTATATTTCACCCTCTGAATGGAGAAGTTTAATAGTGTTTAATTCAATTAGCTTACCGTTTCTTCTTATTTGCTAGACTTATGTGTTTGTTCTGTATCGTTCACATTTTTACATGTGACCTTTTATGATTCTTTTATGAAAACATAGCCCTCATGTTGTGCTGTCACTACGATACATTTTTTGAAATCCTTGATGATTTATAATAGGAAATGTTGCTATTTTTTTGTTTTGGATAATAGTACAAAATGTTCTCAGCTGAGGGAATAAAAAAAAGGTGCATTAGAAAAGGATGAAGTCATCCACAGTATCAGGTTCTGCAGTAAGAGAAGCTGATGGTATGCAATAGTAGATGCAGGCTTTCGTCACATTGTACACCATTGATTTGGACTGATCACCTATCACACAGCTGTTGAGCAATCAGCAGGGTTTTCCCAATAAACCGAATAAAAGTGCATGCAGCTCCAGCTGAACAACAAATGATGATGTTTGTAGAATTGAAGCGGGAGGATTTACAACTTAAGTGAGTATCTATGCCATCATCTCCTGTCTACTGGCACGTCAACCCACATTCTATTGTCTCTGTCCAGGTCAGCATTGTAATTGGCTAAATTAGACTTCCTGCGACAGGGGCGTGTTTGTGTCTGTCCAATCAGGATTTCATTCATGCAGACATTTCTTTGAACTCTTTGCAATGTCTACACTGACTGTTTCATAGGTAGCAAAATGACAGTTTACTAAATATTTACATTTACCCAGATGAATGCTGGGTAAGCGTGTTTGTATTCAAAATACAGTAGCTGGCAAAAGCACTACAGCTTTGGCAGCTGGCTGTTGCGTCTGAAACCTCAGTAGCATGGAAGATACTTGGACCAAGCTCACTTGTCAACTGAGCGGAAATGTGACATCTTATATATATATATATCATAGCAACAAAAAGGCTAAAAAGAATCCCCCCTTGACATAGATTTTTTTTGTTTTCATTTACCTACATTTTGTTTGTGAATTACCGTGAACTGTGCTACAGGTTTGGCTTACCAACTGTGTGTGTGTCATTGAAAACAAGCTGCATTTGCACCACAGCCCATCCCATACACCAGTGAATAAGCACTCCTTCCTCTGCACCTTCCCAGGCCTCAGCTGGCCAAGAGGAGCCAGAGGAGTCTGTGCGAGCATGAGTGTGTGAGTGCTAACTAAAGCCCAGGCGTTTGTTCCTGTGCCAGTTTCGCGAGGTCAGCAACCCAGGACTGCTGCAGCCCCGTCATTGGTTCAGCCTGTCACACGGTGCCTGGGTGCAGAACAGGCCCTTTATATAATCAAAGCCATGCCAGAGCCACTCCTTGGCTTACCTCACTGCATATATTCTTAAATATGTGTACGTACATATTTGCAAACATCACCTCTACAAATGACTAGTGCAAGATAATCCTCAATACATAATGATGAGTGTTAGTCTGTCATGATTACAAATAATCTTCTTATACTTCCAATCTGGTTTTAGATAATAACTTATGGGAATCATTTATAGTATTCATGTTCACTTGATCAATACGTATTCACTTGACGTCCCTGTTTAAGTCTGTGAGTGGACAGTTGTCTATTGTTCATCATTGGTGTGACGGTGCCGCTGCGCAGAGAGAAGGTGTGGTTCCTGCTCCCTAAACTTGTAAACAAATCCTCCTCGCCTCTGCTACCACTGAGTGCTGAGCCCCTGCACTTAGACTTTCAGTACAACACCATCATTCAGTCCAAGCTTCTGCATACCACTACTCAAATATAGTGATGTCCTTTTAAGCTTTATTGACATCATCATTTTCTTTTTGGGACCTTTAGCTTACTGTGCACATTTGACTTTTGTACAAGAGCACAAAGAGCTAATCCAATATATATGTCTGAGCTTGAAATTGTCATTGTGCTTGTCTTATAATGTCTCAGACTACAATGTTGTGTTTCCTACTTGTAATTTCAAATCCAGCTATAATAGTATTTAACAATTTAGAGTTTGAACTTCTTATGCAAAGTAATGTTTATCGATGGGAGCAGTATTTTGGGGTGTTTTCTGTAAGTCTTCTAATTTTAATTATTCAAAAGTACTAAACTGTTGGTTGAATTATTATGTCCCCAACCAGGCAGGTAAACATGTTCTTCTCCTTCGCTGTGCAGGTTCTAGCCTATTAATAGATTTATTAGTGCAGATTAAGCTCTAGGAGTTTACTAAGATGCAGCTCAGAGCCCCGCTGCCATTCCAGTGAATCTTCAGCGTGTGTGACCTCGGGTCAAGTGCTCGAGTTGTCTGAATCTTTCTTTTCCTCCGAGATCAGATGCATCGGTGCGGGTTGTGTGCACCCTAACATATCCACATTCAGACAGGGAATTGTACACATTTTTATACTCGTGATTATTTGCCTTTGGCTTGATCTTTTCTCAACTCTCACCCACTTGTTTTCACAACCTGTCAATCTGCAACTAAAACAAACAACACACACATTTCATATTGCTAATATTAGCTGTCTGCTGACTATTTAAACTTTCTTTGTAAGGGGTTTAATGATCAATCTTCCACTGGAAATCCAATTCTTGACACCTAAGCTGTGTCTCTATTTGGCACTTCTTGTCTCCGTTTAACATGTTTAAGGTAAATATAAGCACATGTTGACTACATGCTGTGACTGCTGGACCTTTAAAGCTACCAACAAAATGCTCAATACGATATACATACAGTAGGACCCTGTGTCACGTTTAACTTCTGAACAACCAGGACAACTACACATGCTAGAGTCTTGCGATCCAGTTTGTTGGTTCTAAACATCTTTTAAAGTGTATGAAGTGTTGTTATTTTTAAAGTTTCACATGATCTTTGTTGCCCCAGAAAGAGTTAATATCAAAAGATGTGAGGTTCTTAAGCTTGTTTAATTAAGTCTCAGTAAGCATGTCAGTGTCCAGTTTTCTTTAATGGTATAATGTGATTTGTGTTCCTTATAGATCTAGAAATTGCGTCATATTTAATTGACTTGTTTTATTGTTGGAGAAATGACTGCACCAGGACCTGTGTCCTGTGTTTATAAAGAGATATACATTTTTGATTTTTGTTGAACCTATTCTATTTGACTGACACGTTTTGAAATGTCAAATCAAAAGCTGTGTGTGTCACTATGTTATCCAGTAATCCTGGCCCTTGATTCTTCGCCATCTAGGCTTTTGAATGTTCATGCAACTTATAACAGCATTTGTAAACAGCTTTGGATAATGTCCATTTTGCGGCTGTTGCTGTCCTCAGAGTCTCGATATTAAGAACAAGAAGCATGCTGTAACATCAACATTTCATTTGCGAACAACTCCAAACTATAGCCGTTGAAATCTCATCCCAGTAGTTTCCCTCTTTTCCTGGTGATGGTCTCAAAGCGGATGATTGAAGAGGTCATTTCCAAAATGACAACTTAGATTAAGGGCTCCTAATCTGGGCTCTACTTTTTTTTTTTTTTGAGCATGTTCATATTCATCAGCAGAAATGTGTTATGCCTGAATAGTTTTATAAATATTACAACCAGACAGATTATAACAGTTATATAAAAATGTGTTTTTTAGCTTTCATTTTTCTAGTTTTTAACTTGGTGAGAAATTCCTGGAAAGACATTTAAGTACTTCTAACAGATTTCCTAGAAAGCAGTGGGAAGATACTAAATGGAGGGGTTAAGGCAGAGAAATACATAACTGAACTTCTGGTTCTTTCTGACTGCCATATTTAATAGTTTTGTAGAGCTCTTGCTTTTAATATTTGTCTAGTTCCATATTTGTCGGAGTAATGCACAACAGTTACCAAACAAAGTAATCGAACATCTTCCTTTCATTATCTCGCTCTGACTACATGTCCATTAGCACTAGAGACTTCTAACTACCTTTTACCTTTCCTTCTGCATGCTGTGCACCCAGCAAGGCCTCTGAAATGAAGGGCTGCTCTTATATAACAGCGTCTTGGAGTGTGTCAAAACCGAGAACAGGCGCTGTGACTGGGGGACTGCTACTGTTATGTTGCATAGTTGTGTACAAAGTTTCATCCGGGGAATATAGTCTCCAATGAGAAATGACCGTAGTCAATCTGTGTCTGAGTGACTGCGGTTGAAAGTTAAGATAGGGATCTGTCAAGGTTTCACAAACACGAGACTGAGCTGGAATGAGAGAAATCCTACGCGACTCTGTATATTGAATTGTAAATCTGTGCATTGAGCTATCTGTGCATTACCCACAGATAAGATTGTTTGTGCAGCCAATGAAAGCATGATAGTAATGATCTGTCATACTCCAGAGTGTGTGACTGTCTTGGAAGTGCAATAACAAGCATGCTAGCTGCAGTGATTAAGTGCCAGTTGTGTCAGTTACTGCAGCACATTATAGCTTGGAACCATTTGCCCTATGGAGGATCGTGTGAGGCACCATGCATGGCACCGTTTCAAGAGCCTTACATGGTTTTGGCACAGTATTACTGCTCTTTGCCCTGATGTCTCTGTAAGCAGGCATGACCTGGTGCTAAGGCAAAGGTCCTGGCATCCTGCTCAGTCTGATCCCTGTGACTCTGTAGTGTGTCCCTCCAGGTTGGAGCACTGAATATTTTATCCATATTTGACCTGCAGGACTGCATGTGCATTATGCAGACATGGCCGGCTAGAATTCCCTTCTCTTCCCTCTCTCTCCCTTTTTCTGTCTCTCTCTCTCTCTCTCTCTCTCTCTCTCTGACTGCATCAGTAAACAGACCCCAGCAGACCATCCCTGATGCATCCTCTCTCTCTCTCCTCCACGTCCCATCCTTGTTTACCTTACCTCATACCCTCTCCTCTCTCCTTTCTTCTCTCCCTCTGCTCCTCTCCTGCAGGCCCACTGCCTTATTCAGCTCCCTCCTGCCAGACCAACACTACTGTATAAAGACAACAGCCCCATCCGTGATCGATGAGCAGCGTCTGTCTGATGCAGTCCCCGACAATGAGATAAACAAAGCCTCCCCGCTCAGCTCTCTCTCTGATACACCGTCACTGCCAGCATTCACCATACGTGAAGGTGAGATGAAAAGAGGGAAGAGAGAGGAAAGAAAGACCCTCAGAGAACACATCTGCATCCCAGCATCCCTGCCTGCATCTTCCCCTACCCCTCCCCCCCCCCACACCCCACCTCCTCCCCTACACCCCTCTCCTCTATCTGTGAGCAGAATTTTTACCTTAGGTCCAGGATTTCAGGCACTTCATCATAGGTGAGTCCCGGCTGCAACTCTTCCTCTGTGAAGGAGAGCCCAGGCCGGCTGAGAGCGGACAGCAAGGCGAGGGAGCAGAGGAGGAATGCGTGTGCAGCCATTGAGACAATGAAAGGAGACTGCCGCTGGTCGAGCTCCGCTTCATAATCTGCTCTCCGAGCAGTGCCTGACTCCCAGCTCCTTCTGACTGGCAGAAGCAGCAGCCAATAGGCTGCGAGCAGAGACGATAAGCGTGCGTCACAGTCCCCCCCCCCCCTCGCTGCACTCTCCCTCCCTCCGTCTCCTTCTCCTCTCCTCTTCTCTTCTCCACTCCTCTCCCTCCCACCCTACTCCCTTCTCTGTCATCCTCCCTCTGCTTCTCTCATTCTCTCCTCTCACCCTCCCACATCTACTCCTGTGCTCTCTATCGTCTCCTACATGCACACATAGCCGCAGGCCAGCCCTAAGTATAAACAGTAGATCTTTCTTTTTTCATTGCGCATCCCATACCTATGTTACCTGCACATAGTATGAGTATACACATGTCTACACACATGCTCACACATGTAGCCAAAGAAACACAGGCACAAACGCCCGCACAGACAAGCAGACTGTCCCTTGCAGACACACACACACACACACACACACTCTGTGGAAAATCACCTGGGAATGTCAAGGTCAGATTGTGTAGGAGGAAAGAAAGATGTTGACATGACTTTAGGAGGTGACAAAAAAAGGAGCCATGACTGCGTGACCTAGATCTGCAGCCCGCTGCCACAAAAGCAGAATTAATTCACTTGATCTATGTGTTGTTGTGAACACTGAGAGGGCCCGCGGCTGAGGAAATTGTCCACTGAGGCTGCAAATATGGATGACAGGAACAGCTGAGCAGCCGTGGGATGAGACAGGAACGAGAGCCAAACTCTGATGACCCTGACGGCTGATCCTGTTTCCTCCTCATTATTTAGCCCCCCATGCATGTGATGCCTCAGGATCTTGATACATCCTCTCAGATCTTTTTTTCCCCATATCAGATGATTTGATGATTTTTAGAGCAGAAAACCAAGAGTGGTTATATAACCAAATGTTTTGACCTACTATCATGGATATTCACATTGATGCGTGGCAGTGATTCACACTGAGAGAGTGACTGCAGAGCCCGAAATGTTAGATTCCTTCTGTAGTTTTCCTGTGAAAGGACATGAAAAATGAAACCATATAACGGACAAAAGATTCCTCAAACAGCATTTTGATCTGTTCTCAGTCACATTTTAGCTTATATGAGGTAAATATTTGAGCTCACGACACAATATGTTTAGTTTTTTGACACGTGTTGCCCTGTAATCCAGCATGACACATTTATTTGTTTTGAAATAGATGCCACGCACACGCACGGTCTCTAGAATATATCTTTGTAATGAATGCCTGCTGGTGGGACAGCTGCATTACATTTTTTGAGAATGTAATGTGACATGAAACAACAATAATATGAAGTAACAACCTTCTCATCATTCTCTATTTCTCCTTCTGTGACTAAGTACCACCGTTATAACGAGCATCCGTGTGCAACCATTCGTAGAATATCATTCCGTCTGCATGTGTTTTGTGTGCGTCAGTTAAGGAGGCTTAAGTATTGCTCAGGGTGTGAGGGGTCAGCTGTGTCTCCTAGGTCATACAGTAACAAGAGGTGACTAACGGCTGCCTCAGCCCTCTGCGTCTTGCCTGCCACGCTCACTGCACCAGGCCAGTGTGTCAGTCCACTGGAGGGAAAGTGCAAACTAGCCTGTCACTGCTGCCATCACAGAGTGACATCAAAGAACGTCCGGCAGGAAGACGACCAGTGGTGACCACTTTCAAAAGAGGACAAGAGGCTAGGATGTCCCATAACTATAGGTCTAAAAATACAAAAAAAAAAAAGCCACAATGGTTTGTCAGTAAAAACAGTTTATGTCATTTATGTTCTTTTTCAGTTTTTATTTTAGTTTAAACATGTTGTGTAGGAACATACATTAACAATTCAAGTCCATAAGGGATATCAGACACCATAGGTTTGGAACTATGTTAAATGAGAATATATATTTATATATGTGTTTAAAAATATATCATAAACGTTTAGTCATAGAAAACAGGAGCTTGCCATCAGCGAGCATAAGCTGCCAGTAGCTTTGGTGCTCAGTGCTAGCTAATGTTGACTATTGGGACGTTTAAGAGTTGGATGACTTTTGAGTCATTGTGCTACTGTTTCACTTTGTTTTTAGTGTTTAACATTCATCACGTTTATGTGGGAACTTTTTAAAATCAGTTACTTAGTTTTTCTTTTTTTTTTTAAAGATACAGTACCATGCAATCATGAAAAAAAATAACAGAAAAACCTGTGAGTATAACCAGCAAAAATAGAAACAGAATAATAGTAGTATGATATCCGTTCATGTGAGGCTGTTATTGGTTTGTGTTATCAGCTGTTTCTGCTCTATGGTTCTACTTGAGGCTGTAGTCTGTGTGGGTGTTGCACTGCGACTGGTGATGAGGTGCTCTCTCTTTTCTGGCCACCAAGTTCCTTGGTTTTTGTTTTCCCTCTCCTGGTGAGTCATGCAGCATTTCAGATTATGAAACAGATCGAACATACAGCGCTGGGGGTTACTGTCTATTTATAGGTATGATCTCATATCCAACTTTTTTAATCCTGCTCTTGATAGAACAGCGAGGCCTGCGACACACAGGGTGATGTAACAGGTTAGTGCTGTTTTAGATCACTGCTCAGTACGTGTTGATGATGATATATGACTGTTAATCTGCCAGCTAGCATGGGCATCTGATCTCTGCAATGTTACAGCTGTAGCAGCATTAATCATAATGCTCAAGCTTGGGTTCATTAAGAGGCCTGGGGTGTTGTGGGGGAGTAAGTGCATCACTGTGAGTATTTAAATGTATTTATAGTGCGGTGTTTCTTTAAGCGTCAGTGAAGCTCCAGATTGATGTGATTGCATAAATCTGTTTTGATAGAAAATGTAGGAAGGAACAAATTGTTTTGATTATGTGTTTTTATTGATAGACATATTTGCTTTCTGTCACAACACTGTCAATCATAGTTTGCCTTTTTTGATGACCTGGCTCACAAACACGTGGCACACACACTCACTGACATACAGTACACACACACACACACACACACACACACACACACACACACACACACACACACACACACACACACTTTTTTCATCTTGAGGACAAGGTCAGTAAATAAGGCGACCTAAGAAAACCACAGGTACATTGCATGATGCAAACATCAGCCTCCTCCATTATAAATGATGCCATGTATTAGATATCACTCATTTGCTGTGAACAAAAACAACCCACCCATCTCGTCATTTTGCTCTCAGCAACACTTCTCAAATGTGTGTTTATGGACACACAAAAAAAAAAAAAATCATGATATAATTCAGATCAGATAAAAGATTCTACCAAGGAGTCCCAAGCCGGTTAACTAAAATTGCATTCAACTACACAGAATATATTTCCATCACTTATGCGAAAAACATCCTTTATAAAAACTAGCCTATTTATTAAATATAGAACAATCTCCAGGTATGCACATAGTTTGCTGATTAATCTACATAACATCCTTTAAAACTTTCAGTGTGTCACTCCTTCATGTCATACAGGCATTTTCACAGGCAATATGATAAATGGAGGATATAATATCTATTGTTATGTAACTATATTCTAACGTCATATAAAGATTAGAAATGAGGCCTTTTCATCTCTGTGTGTCAACCTAATCGTTTGGTATAGGTGATATTTTTGATCATATTATATAAACATAGATTCCTTCTATAAAACTAGATCCATTCATAAAACACCCATAAGGTTAGTTTTTTTTCTTTTGGCTCTATTAACCAGTAAAATTCTGTGAGTTGCTCTACACCTTTAAGCTGGCAGGATCAATCATGTGATACTACGCACACAAGAAGCCCTCCAAGCAGAGCAATGCAAAGCTTTGATTGGCTGAAACCTGTGAATGGCCAACGTTAATATTTAACATTCAAGTCACAACACTGCGGTTTCATTCAGTCTTCCACTCCTCTCGGCTGGCGCTATGCCACACTGAGCCACTTGAGGGCGCTCTCATGTAACCCAGAAAAAAAAAAAGAAAGAAGGCCTTCAATCCCCCTCAGTGATGTGGGCTAACTTCATGAGGCACAATGTTAACACAAGGAGCACGGAGATATAGAATAAATGAGGATGACGAGTGAGACCCCAAAAAACTCTAGAAGTCTGTGTTTAGCTCCATCAGTGAGTCAATACATGAATCAATAAATTAAATACATTCAAAACATGAGCAATACATTACCTGTTATTAGGATTAAACACAGTTCCACCCTAGATAATGAGTGCTACAATATGGAATATTTCAAGCTGATTCATTAAAGAGTTAACCATTGCTCTACTCAAATAGCAGCAAGAAATCCTAAAACTCAATAGATTCAAGTCCCTGGGCTCTAAATAAGCTCACCTGCTCTCTTCACAAAATATAAACATGTATGTAAACTAAAAAAAAATAAATACATTCCACATGGCTTGTATGGAAAATGAACAGAATCTCTAAAAAGAGAAGTAGCTTTTACATCAGAAAAGTTGTTGATTTGTTGACACAAAGAACCTACATGCAAGTCCTAATTTGGCAGGCCTAAAACTATTTCATCCTGTGCCTTACACTTCTTTCTTTCCTCGCCCCCTTTCCTTAAAGACACACAGCTTCATCTAGCAAATAGATACAGACCAAGGAGAGGCAGACACTTCTTCACAGCTGTTAGATGCACTGGGGTCTTTCCCAATATACTGAAAGACCCGTTGTGAAGATGTCAGGCTTTCGAACTGACCTAGTTCTATACACAGTGCGTTATCGTAACTATTTTTTAATTGTTGGAAACACGATCTTAAACTGGCAAATTTGACAATTGTTGTCTGCAGGTTTTCTTTTTTTTTTTCCGAATCGGACTATATTCTAAAGAAAATAATAAAATTGCACGTAACATCAGAAGCACAGGTCTATCCATGTATGGATACAATAGTCAAGCTAGACAACAGCTATCATGCCACGTCTATGTTTATCTGGCAGGTGTCAAGATAGTCACGATAATATCTTCTCACTTTGTTATGCAGTTGGATACAGAGTTGTCTTACCATAT